CCCCAAAACCCCAAAACCCCAAAACCCCAAAACCCCGTGAGGAAACAAAAAATTTGAATTTGAGTTGGTAGGTGCGAGATAATGAAACATATAAATATAAAATTTTAATTAATAGTTACCTGAAGACTTAAATGACAGACATTAACACTCAAGAAACAGCACAGCTCACTCTCAATGCTAAACTAGCTTAGGATATTGCTCAGATTGAACTAGATGATCAGGTCTAATACTCCCCAAGGACTTCAGAAAAGGGATCCATGAAAGGCAAAAGATCTCAGAAAGATGGTAGTGGTAAGTCAAACGGAGTAGCAATGGATCAATTTGCTGATTTGAGAAAGAGCATGCAAAGAATAGAAAGAGTGATTGAAAGCGGAGGCATATCTTAGCAGGTGCAGAAGAATAGGCAAGCTCATCACGAGAGTTTGACGACCTCAATGAATTCACCAGTTAAAACTTCGAAATTAGATAAACACTATGAAGACTCAGCCTCTGGTAAATTCCACAGTCAAATAAAGCGTTCAAATGAATCTCATAAATTGAATGCTGCTAATGGTTTCGGCTCATCTCCTTCTAGTAATGGCTCCTCTTCTGTGAATGGAGCCAAGGGCTCAAACTATCACAAGCTTGACAAAGACAATAAAGCGCTTTCTAAGAATAGCAGGAATACCATAGCCAAGCCAAACGCTGATGATCCCTATAGAAACGCGGCAGTGGCATCTACAAATAGTAATGGAAATGGATTTAAAAATAAAAAACTTGAAGATCACTCAATTTAAGATGACACAAGCAATTACTCAATGCCAGCTCAAATCCAACCAAAAAAAGATTTGAATTTGAATGGTGCTAATCTAAACAGCTCAACTAAACTTTAACACTCTTTCAACACAGACAAGGGTATAGGTTACTCTTCAAAGACCACTCTTCAATCTAGAGATAGAAAGGGTTCTCACAGATATGTAAAGAAACAGACTGATCTGAGCTTGGCAAGTGGTAGCAGCAGCACTGGAAGTTAGAGTGGAGACAATAACAGAGGTGGCAAGAAGTAGAGAACAAAGAGCAAGTTAGTCCCATTGTCTTACTCCATGTAGAATAAAAATCGTGCTAATATGAGTACCAGGAGATAAGTGAATATAAATGTGTAGAGTGATTCAGAGGATCAAAATAATATGTAAAGATCGAAATCAGCTACATCCTTTAAATCAGTAAGTATTCACGAAAATTTTATTAGAATTTAAGGCATTTGAAATTCTAAAAACCGCAATTCAAATTCTAATTAACTTATTATAGAAGCTAAAATCAACCACATTCAATGGTGTTAAGAAACCAGTAAGTCCCATAAAGTCAAGCACCTCAGCAGGTGGCTCAACACACACACCAAAAATAACTTATACTAAAAAGAGTCAAAGATTAGATGGCAGTGCAAATAGAAGTGCTCTAGTTACACAGTCCCTTAATCTTAACTCTATGAAAGACTATCAATAAACAGCGAATGAATACGCTTTAGCCAAGAAAGCACTTCTTGAATTCAGTGAGAAATTTGACTTCTAGATCTTTCAAGTATGATACAATACCTTCTTTAAATATACATTTATAGGATGTGAAAGGTAATCCAGAGTCATTCAGCGTGTTTTAGAGATTCTGCCTTATGCTTTTGATAATTCATGGGGAATTGGAAAGAGTGCAGTAGGACAGATCTGATGAATTTCTTAAGAAACTTAATGTATACAAGGAGATTACAAATATTAAGAAGAGTCTTGATGAGTCTAAGTACAAGTTCAAAGAACTTCAACCACTCTTTCAAGATAGTGGTACACTGAAGGAAAATAAATTGCAAAAGTTCATTAATCTTGTAGTAAAATATGCTGAGCTGAAAGCTAAACTACAGGATCAAAGCTAGGTCTCTTTAATAAATGACTCATAGTCAGCTGCAAGTGAGTAAATAGAAACTCAATCAAATGGAAGTATGATGACTGTGCAGACCAATGGTGCCTATTCTTAACTAGGTTCGAAAGAATATTACTAATCTTCTAATAACTTGACATTGAACTAGAAATCTCCAGGTCGTAAACTCTCCCATAACTCATCATAATATAACGCAAAAACTTCATCCCAAGGATCGAAGAGTCTTAAGGTATCTTAGACCATCAGTTCTAAGAGATCTGACTCAACTCGAGGTGACTTTAAATCCCCAGAAAATACCACTGCTTCAAAGCCTAAATCTCAGTCAATCAATGTGAGCAATGCTAGCATCTCTAACAAGAAGGTGGATAAACACCGACACTCTATTAAGCAAGTTAAATAGTTGCAGACTATAAATGTGGATAAGCCACTCTAGATGAAGTAGCCATTGTAGAATTCTAGCAATGCAAACACATCCAGCACTATCACTGTGAGAAAGTCTGTCAATTTAGACTCTAAGAAGATGGACTTTAACAGTCGAGGCAGTATTGGAGCTAAAGAAGGAGTCCTAGGCACTTCACTTGGACTTGCTGGCAACTCCACTCAAACAATTCATAGTGACAGTGAAAACAGACTAAACACTCATTTGATTAAGATTGGACAGTAGGAACTGAGTGACGATGCTTCAAGTGCTGAAGAAGATAAGAAAAAACCTGGAATTTCTGAGATTAGCAGCCCCACCTTCATAGACTTAAAAATGGGCAAGAGCAGTGTGATCAGCAATGAAAATCCTTTTGAGGCCAAGCCAACTGTCCGAGGTTCCCCTAGCCGTGACTATCAAATTGACTTGGTATAAGAAGCTTGGAAAATGGTGGCTCATCAACTGGATAACACCCACAAAGCCAATCCCCTAGATTTCCACTTTAGAGTGCACAAATGCTCCAAGGGAGATTCAGCAGATGAGGAGAAATTCTTTAAGTACTCTGGCAGCCCTCCTCCCAATGTGAGATATGAAAAACTTGACAAGGAACTTGACTATGACTATAAATTCATGAGGCAGTAAACACAGGATTTATATGATTCTAATAATGCTCTGCTAGCCAACAGTATAGGCTATAGATCAAGAGCTATTGGCGAATAAATGATCAATGACAGAGAAAAGGAATAGAGCAATGGTCTCGCCAAGAAAATTGATATGTCAATAATAGACAGAATTAAATAAATGCGTAGTTAGAGCAGGGAAAGCGGGGACAGTCTGCTGCAGAAGAGAGATGAAGTAATAAGACAGATATAGCAGAAGCAGGGACAACAGATTGAGGACATTAGCAATGTGGGCTAGAGAGTCAGATTCACCGATGAGACTACATCCAACACTGAGGACAAGTAATGAGATTGATTAACTGCCTCTGCTTTGTTGCAGCTCCTAGGTTACTTATAGTTTTGCTAATGGCTGGATGAACAATTTAACAACTCATGGAACTAACTATATTTTGAATAAAAATCAGTCAGTCAGTATATAACTAAATTTAGTTAACAATTATTTAACTTCTAACGAACCAATTTTCAACATAAATTAACAGAGTGGGGTTTTGGGGTTTTGGGGTTTTGGGGTTTTGGGG